GGGTGGAGTGGAGACCCAAAGGTGGGGGGAAAAAAGGACTGGCCCTGTGAGTTTCCAAGACGGGAACTCTTTATGGGAGTTGAAAGCCTTTCTCCCGTGGAGTGGCAGGTGGGTTCATACTGATGACCTTGCAGTCCGCAGCCCAATTTGAAACCACTATGACACCAGCCCTTCTTACCTAGAGGGGCCTTTCAAAGACGGGCCCGGTGATCTCTTTTTGAAAACAAAGTCTTGCAGACTGTGTTCAGCCAGAGCTCAGTTCTCCTCTGACACATGTGGTCCCCATGAGTCAGAATACACTCAATGTTGTTCGGTGCACTGTGTTCATTCCGACCCGGAGTGACCTTGGGCACAACAGAATGAAGCACTGCCCATCCTGTGCCCTCCTCACAATTGTTCCTATGCTCCAGCTTATTGCCGCAGCCATGGTGTCAATCCATCTCCTTGAGGGTCTTCCTCTTTTTTGCAGGCCCCCTATGTAACCAAACTTGATGTCCTTCTCCAGGGACTGGTCTCTCCAGTGGCAACCGGTTTATACTGCTGTCGGATCCAAACACATCTCCTGGGTAGATCTTTCCAGAGCCTCTGATGGGCAGCAGCCCTGACCACATGCTCACGCGTTTACCCTCTGCACAGCTGTACAGAGGTAAAGAGAAACAGCCAAGTGTGGAGGGAAGAGTAGGACATATGGAAATAGGGCTCTGGAGGCTGCAGGTAAAAGACAAAAGCAACTTCCAGTGTTGGGGGAAGGGAGTATGTACTGGTCCCTCATCCCAGCATGGATTCTCCATGCTGTCCTATAAAATCAAACTCCAATTACATCCAGTCAATGGGTCCCTCCAATCTATATGGTTTCCAAGGCTGAAACTCTTCGTGGAAGAGAACTACCACATCTTTCTCTCACAGAGGGGTGGATGGGTTTGAACCACCAACTTTCCAGTTAGCACCTGGGTACTTTAATTGCTGTGCCACCTGGCTGGCTATTAGGAACCAATTGTCCTTTCATTTCCTTACCTCTTTTGGTTTCAAAACAACTGGTTTTAACCCATGGGCTTGCAGGACCTGTAGAGGGATTAAAAATATAACAGTGTTTATCGAATCAAAGTTCTAATTTCACATGAAACCCACCGAAAGGTTTAAACCCAAGGTCTTAGAAAAGATTAGAAATACATGACTTGGCTCTGTTCATGGTCTCTAGTCTCGTCTTTATTTTTGCTTTCAGTCTGAAAGCAGATTTTATCTTTTGAATGCACCTTGTACTTTAAAAAATCATGGGCTCTATTGCCTATAGAACAATGTAGGAGTCCCAGTGATGCGATGGTTCAGTGCTCAACTGATAACCAAAAGATCAGATGTTCCATTCCACCACACAGTGACCCTGCAGAACAGAGTAGAGCTGATCTACAGAATT